ACGCTGCAACTATATTATGGTTGTAGCACGAATAGGTCGGCTCGACCGGAGTACGAATCTCTCGCAGAATCATCATCATCAACATCATTACTGCCTTTCAGATTTCCAATGCTGATCATAGGCCACCCCCAAGTTATGCCACAAAGCACGGTCTGAGCCAATTGCATCCATCGATTGCCTGCATGTCTTACCAGGTCTTCATTCCATTTAGTGAGGGGTCGCCCTACACTTCGACTTCCGGTACGAGGGTGCAACTCGAGAACTTTTATCCTCATCGGTTGTCGGTTTTTCGAGCTATATCGCCGGCCCTTGCCATTTGAGCTTACTTATCCGCTGGGCTATGTCGGCTACTCTTGTTCTTCTGAGATAATCCTTATCCTCTCCAGATAAGTTTATCACGAAAAGAAACTTCAAGCATAGTCCGCTCCATAGCTCACTGAGTGACCTTGAACGTCGTCATAGGGCCAGCAATGAAGGACTATTCCTCAGATCCATTAGTCATCACTTGCAATACGTACTGGTTTTAAAATTTAGTTCTCAGGTTTTGAGATATACCTTGCGACGTACGGATTGCTGCCCAGCCGAATTGAATTCGTCGATTGACCTCTCGGTCGAAGTTGGGCTTACCTAGTATTGTTAGATGCTGATGATGCTAGACTTATCTAGTTGTTGACGAGTATGTTTACCTTAGTCCCAGGTAAACGTACTCGTCAACAACTTCGAGCTTAGTGCTTCCAACAACTACCGGCATAGGTGTGACATGGACATTACACATGATCTTTGTTTTGACCATGTTCATCTTAAGAGCTATCCGTTGGGCAACACTATTGTGGTCATTTCGCATAGAACTAAGGTCCTCCAGCGATTCTGCCATAAGGACTATATCGTCGGCAAATCATAGGTGAGTGATGTACTCGCCATCGATTTTAATACCGTATCCTTTCCAGTCCAGTAGCTTGATAACGTCTTCCAATGCAGCGCTGAATGGTTTCGGGGATATAACGTCACCCTGTCTTACACTTTTCTGTTTAAGTTGGAAAGGTTTCGTGCTCGGAATCTGTATTCGGATAGCTATCCCAGCCCTACTCTACAAACACTTCAGTACTAACGACAGTCAATTTGGCACAGTTGAAGAGACTGTAACACCGCCCAAATTTCGACGGAATCAAAGCCTTTCTCACAGTCTACATACGCTAGGCAAAGTGGCAGGTTGTACTCTTAAGTTTTCTTTAAAATTTGCCGAAATGTATGTATATGGTCTATGGTAATTAATTTTTTAGGAAACCGAAAATACATTAAGTTGGAGCGGTCTCATCTAATGAAGTCAACGCTCCCTCCCCCTTGCGCTCTAATTCAAAGTATAATCAAGAGCCAACTGTCAAAGCTGAAGACCGAGTGTGGCATCATTTTAAGTGAGACTGAGTCTATGCCCATAGAACCTCTCAGTTTCACTACTGTAGACATTATCGTTGAAACCACACGCAAGTATGAATGACAATCAAAGAGCAAGTCTTAGCCGACACTTTGCGCTGTACGCATTTAAACCAAAAGATGTCGTTTGGTGCCTAGACAGGTGAGGCAATAATGGTTTTTGGGGACTGTAGTCACCGTGGACGGTTGAGTGGTTAGGTAGATCAAATTACAGGTAAAACTCATTCTTTATAAGAGCATCTAATTTTTGTAACAGATTTTATAAGGACTGTGATAAGGCAGATTTTGGTTCTCCTATTTGTAAATTGATAACATCTAAGTTCAGTAACAATAAACACTTGAATACTTGAATTTATTTTTTTATTTTTTATAGGATAGGGTGACAAACGAGCACACAGTCCACCTGATGGTAAGTGGTTGCTGTGGCCCATAGACCTGATATCCTGGTTTGTGAATCAAAATGCAGATGCGTTGTCACCCGTGAGGACTAAGATGGAATGCCTCTTTTCCAGTAAAAAGGGTCTCCGGTTCTCTACACTCACCATACGAAACACAGCAGCATTAAGCTGCTATTTTACGCTGGTATTCTGTGAGAGCGTGGTCCTTCCCCGGTCGAGCCGACCCATTTGTGCTACAACTATACTACTAATATAGCTGCAGCATGGATCTACCACGTGAAGGTAATTAACATCAACATTTACGAAAACTTTAAGGCCTAAACTTGTGACTTAAATATGTATAATAACTACATAGTATTGATTAAGAGCTGTTATTTTCCTGTTATTAAATTAATTAATAAAAAAATATTACGGTGGGTAGCTGATAGCATGGAACATAATATCGGATATCTATTAAATTTGATAACTCATACATGTTACTCTTATGTAGTCATCCAGACCGAACTTCGATCACAATGGCCAGTATAAACGGAGACTAGTCATCTGTGCAGAACAGGATTAAATTTCCCAAGTGCATGGGTAAGCACAAGTGCACTCTCTATTCCCTCACTCTGATCGGTAATCGATACGATCGAAGAGAGATCAGACGCCGGACCAACTGTTACGTGTTTATATAATCGTGTTTTCCAAAGCACAGCGGTGAAACACTGCCAACTTCCTAATTAAGGGTTGCTACTGAGCATTTCTTGATAGAAAAATGCAATAAGTGATTTTGGCTCGACCCGAGATACGAATCTCTCATGTTCAGCAACTACGTTTACCACCACTTGCCCAACGAGGCAGTCAAAATTAAAATTATAATAATTAATTATTATACTACTATTAGCAAAATTTATATATTTTACTAGCTGGCCAGGCAGATGTTGTACTGCCCTTTTCGACGACCCTTCATAAAAAAAAATCCTTAAATTCGCAATAAAAAAATATTGAGTGTCACTTATCGGGATAAAAACTGTCCTATCTCTCAAGTTGGACCAAAATACACACAGTGTGCAAAGGACAATGTTTTGCGTCCATACAATGTTCGCCTAAGAACCAACAGTAAAAAAAATACCTTTTTAAGTCCGAAATTACACATAATTGTATGTAAAAACAATAACTCCTGACGGAAACTTCTGAAAACTTAGATATTTGCAGTTATCATAGAGATTTTGAGGTTATGTTTTATGTTTATAAAACATCGTATCCGTTGTTCAAGCCGTTGTTCGTAATTTATATAAACTTATCGCATAACAAAGCAACTACAGAGTGCACTTAGATTCCTAAAACATTTACAGAAATGTATTTTTTCAAACGAAACCAAAACAATAGCACGTCTGACGTCTATCTATTTTGACTTGTTGTCATCTGTCAACGTTTTTGACTTTTTTTTGCGTGGCACAATGCTGATTTGCCAATGAGATGACAAAAGTATTGTTATTTTAAATGAAAATAGATGATTTCACTGTACCCCAGTTCCCTGTGGTATATATTAATCTGAGATATATTTTAAAATATACAACTTTTGAAATATGTGAGTGAAGGTATTATGCGATTGGCCAAATAACAGGAGGCCATACACGATGCACAATAGTATTAAAAAATAGGTACAAAGTTCAAAATCGAAAAAGTCCTTTTTATTTTGATTTCACAAGTCAGAAGTGTCCGTTACTATCTAATGAATATTATCTAATGCATAATTAAGGATAAGAATTTTGGTAATAGTCAAATATATGTTGGTTCTTAGGCGAGTTTTAACATTGTCCTTTCATTGAAATCAGTTTTGTAGTTTAGGAGTCCATCGCAGACAAACAACGTGACACGTAATTTTTATATATTACTAACTCCCCAGGCAGACGTTGTTCTGCCCTTCATATAAATAATCCTTAAATTGGCAATAAAAAATTTGAAGGTCATTTATCAGGATAAAAACTATCCTATCTCTCAATTTGGACCAAAATGCACACAGTGTGCAAAATTTCATTGAAATCAGTTCAGTAGTTTAGGAGTCCATCGCGGACAAACAACGTGACACGTAATTTTTATATATAAAGATAAAGATTAACTTCTCCTCTCAGTATATTCAAATAAACAAAAATACATTTTTCTTTGTTGCATAAGTCAGATTTAAAAGTTCAAGATTAACTTAAATATGCTCTTAATAGGTAATTTGGTCGCTAAAATTTTAAAATGTTGTTTTATTTTCGCCAATGAATTGCAATTCTTAGAAAGCATCCAGCCAACTCACAAATTATTCAGCTTTGGTTTATTCATGAACTTTCTCTTCAGTAATATTAAAATATAGGACAAGTTTCAGTCTCTCCTAAGTACCTAATTAAGAATACATGTTACAGCAAGTACAAAAACACGGAAAACTCAATACATAAATTTACTTTGTTTCTATTTAATTTTTATTTTTCATTCTTTATGCATTTATTACTTAAAAATATCCTTAATATATTGAAAAATAATAAAAAACATAAAGTTAAAGAAACGGGGGTCAAAAATTAGTCTTGAATCATAGACCGCATTGCCCCCGAACTCATCATATTTATCACTATGTGCATTATTAAGTGTGATATATATATATATATATATATATATATATATATATATATATATATATATATATATATATATATATATATATATATATATAGTCCCTGGCCAAATTATTAGACGCACTATAAGATTCTATGTAAAATCTTAATTATCAGGTGATACTATACTGCTTTATTGTTTTTACTATATACAATGTATATTTTATTATTATCAACCTTATTATCTATTTTAACACAAATAAAATATCATAATCATAAAAAAAATATATATTTATGAACTCTTGAAAAAATTTTAAATGAATGCAATAAAATGTAAATATTTTGTTGAGCCAACTTTAGCCGCTATGAGAGCTTCAATTCTGCGCGGCATGCTCAGAATTGATGTTAGATGTTAGATGATTAATATTAGACTATACTGTCTCCTGCATTTGAGGATGAAGATTCCACACATGAATAATTTGAGTTTTGTTTGTGATGACATCTTTAGCCACTTCTCTCTTCATCAGCCTCCACACGTTTTCAATAGGATTCATATCTGGACTATTACCCGGCCAATCCAACAGAGGCTCTTTCAAAAAAGCTTTAACAGACCGTGCTGTGTAACTGCGAGCTCCATCTTGCATAAAACTGAATTCCCATTCGGAAACCATTCTCTGAGCTGCGGAATCAATTGATTTTTTAAGACTTCTTTATACTGATCTTGCTTCATTATACCTTTTACCACGTACAGACGTCCAGTTCCCTTGCTGCTGATGACTGACCAGATCATCACTTTTGTAGGGTGCTTAACAGTCTGAACGACACAGTCGGGATGAAACTTTTCTCCATGACGACGAAGCACAAACAGAGCTTTATTCTGCAAAATTTCAAACGTGCTTTCATCGCTGAAGCAGACCTGTTAAGAATAGCAAAAATTAATAAACATCCTAAACATCTGTGCTGGTTTTTCTTTATTTCTTTTTAAATGTATCATTTGTGATAAAATTATACTAACTTACCGATCTCCAGAAGTTCTCATCTTTATCTCGCCACTGTTTGGCCCACTTCAGACGCTTTGCTTTCATTGCAGCTGTTAACTTGTGCTTTCTTCTTTGTGGCGGGTCGGCAGGTCCTAAAATCTAAATTTTTTAATTTTCTTCGAACAGTGCGCTCAGAAACATCCACCTTAGCATCTTGAAGTTGCGATTTTATCTGTTTTGTGCTTACAAATCTATTTTCCAGACAAATTTTATTTAAAAATCTTTCTGTCCTTGGAGTAAAAATAGGCTTTCTGCCGCATCTTTTCTTTCTTTTCGGGATCAATTTATCTCCCGACTCGATTTTCTTCTTTATGCGTCGTACGCTTGCTTCAGAAACCTTCAATCTCCGTGATATTTTGCGGTTAGAAAATAATTTAGCATTGAAGAGGGCCTTTACTTCAGCTTTTTTACGTGGTGAAAGATCGCCTTTTTTACCCAAGATTAAAATGCTCTAATTGATTATTTGAACACTGTAGACTAAATGAACAAATAACTGCGTAGTATAAAAAAGCGAAACAAATAAACATAGCGCATAAAGCCACAGAAACACGTCTACAACTAAAGCACGCGAGAACGCGACTGAAACAGATTTGTACTTGTTTAAGTTTGTGTGTCATTTGGTTATCATTGTAATGCAATACATTTAAAATAAATACAAATAGGAAATATATAAGTCACCTCCTGAATAAAAACACATTACATGTATATTTAAATATAAAAGTATTGCATATAAACTCGTGCAGAACATGTAATTATTAAAAAACTACAGTGCGTCTAATAATTTGGCCAGGGAATGTATATATATATAAGTGTAAATACTCAGGTTTTATTAAGAGTAAAAGAAGCATTTAATACATAAATACATAAAATAAAATACATAAAATTTCAGTAAAAGAAACTCACCATGAAGGCTCATGCATAAGATTAATCTATCCAAGCGATAATATTCATCATCATCATCATTACAGCCCTTCACAAGTCCACTGCTGAACATAAGCCTCCCCCAATGCGATAATAATTGCCGTGTAGTGGCGGTTAAGAATATCCACTACCCCATATCTTCCCGTGGGTGTCGTAAAAGGCGACAAAGGGAAACAGGCAGGAGATGGGCAGCAGCATCTTCCTGATAATAGCCAAAATAACAATAAAAAACTGCAGTTGCCAACCCGCTCGCCAAGCGTGGCAACTATGGCAATATACCCCCCATGAGCAATGACAAGCGATAATATTGCGTATTGATAATTTATCCAAACGACCACCACAATGATACATAATATACGTACGAGTAATTTCAGATCTGTACCCCATCATTGAATGAAACCCCTTCACAGAATACCAGCGTAAAATAGCAGCTTAACGCTGCTGTGTTTCGTGTGGTGAGTGTAGAGAACCGGAGACCATTTTTACTGGAAACGAGGCATTCCATCTTAGCCGTTCCACCATTAAAGGCCGGAAACGCATCTGCAATTCCCCTGATTCCCCTGGTATTGCAGTTGTTCATAGGTGGCGGTAGTCACTTACCATCGGGTGAGCCGCATGCTCGTTTGCCCCTCTCCTATATAAAAAAATAGCCCTCACGGGTACAACGCATCTGCATTTTGATTCGCAAACGAGGATACTTACCTTCAGGTGGACTGTGTACTCGTTTGTCACCCTATCCTATAAAAAGAATTGCATATACCTTTCGCTTGTTTCACATTCATAAATTTGGTAAACATAAATGTTTCATTGCTATTTAAATAAAAACATAATTTTATTTAATATTCACATTCATGTATCAGATAAAAAATAACGATTATATATTTAGTGAACAGAAGTTCTTTATATGGTATTAGATAAGAACATCACTCTAATATACAATTTACAAAGCAAGAATTCTCACTACTGTGTTTAAGCTATAGTTTCCAGGTCAAATACGTTAAACTGTAAAGATATTAGTCTACAGGATCAGATACGGGCTTTTTCGAAGGAGGTGATTTAATATTTAAAGTTGAGAGTACTAAGGAGACTGTCACTCTAAAATGGACTCGTATAAATTATGGAAAAATAATTTCTCACAAAATTAGAGCCAAACTTTTTGCTATCATAGACAACGCATCTTACCATTCTCGGAGAAAGGAAAAATTACAAACTTTGGCTAAGACAAAAAATTAATTGCCAGTTACAATGAGTCAGAAGTTAAAACACAACCGGACATTAAATAACAACGGATAGAAACCGCCTTGATTAGGATTGTCAAAATTACGAGGAACGTCACCTCAACTGGCAAAGAAATAACTACATTTCTCACAGCCATAAGTCACTTAAACTCTACCACCCATTTTAAGATAATTCAAACCATTGATTAGATCTCATTATCATAGTACAGTACCTATTTATTTTTATATGAATTTAGAGTTTAATCTCCTATTATTAGTCCAAATATCAATACTGTAAGACTAAGCTGTTATATCGAGTATCTACCTGTTATGTTTCGTTTTGTCAATGCAATAAGATTAATAAAAATAAAGATGTGCGTACTTTAAACACTAGGAACAAACATAAGCTTGTAATGACAGTTACTAGACTCCACATAATCAGTAATTCATTTATGGGGCAATGTATACGCTTTTACAACAAAATCCCAGAACATATTCAAAGTTTGTCAATAAACAAGTTTAAAAGTTTTATTAAAGAAAAACTGTACATAAAGGGTTATTATAATATCAAGGAATACATGAATGAAAATAACCCCTGGGAATAAGGTGATCGCCATCATGCTGGTTCTATGAAAATCATTTAAAATTTGTATACACGAAATTATTGTTAAGTGAAATATGTTTGAAAAAAGAAAGTCCCGCTGGGTTTCTTGCTGGTTCTTCCCAGGACAGAGGTATTTTCCGACCCAGTGGTAAATAAAAAATGACTTTCAATAAGTTTTATGTAATAATCAATATTGAATAAAAATTATTCTATTCTATTCTATTCGAATAAAATTCATTTTTGTTAAGTTTAGTTTAGTTTAAGTTAATAAGTCATATGGATATTTTTATGTGATTAAAATTGACTTTTATTAAAAAACAATCTTGTTTTATTGAATAGCTATGTGGTGTAAAAATCGTGATTTTTATAAAATCTTTGCTATGTGCACTTGAGGCACATAACGGCTATTTATTACTCTAAAAATTAAACCTATGTTTCAAAATCAAGCAGTGTATTTTTTTAAAGCTTATTTATCATCTTAACTTTCTAAAAGTAATTTAAATCTACATCAAGATTTTAGTAACATTAGCATAAAAATATTTTATATGCTTTCAATACATTCTATTTTTGCGTTTACTGTAAAGTAGACCCGAAACACATGCGATTTTTGTAAGGTTAGCGACAATTTGTCATCGACACGGTTATTGTAAAATATAATATAAACAAAACTACTAACTAAACAATTAACTAAATTATTTATTCGCGATGTCGGTGTATAGGAATTTAAAATTCGGTCATAATTTAGTACTGCATTTCAATGCTATCTAATAATTACCGAAAACCCGATATGCATGCATTTAATTTTTGCTATATTTTTAATTATACTGTAGTTGTAGGCCCATTTGGTTAAATTTTCAGACTATTTGTATCATTTTATCATTATTTTTATCACATACTGTATAGTACCGTTTTCATACAAATACATGATTTTTGGTAAGAGCGACTGCCATCTCATAGTTTGAATTTACTTTAATTATCAACCAGTTAGTGCGAGATTATTCCATAAATTTAAGAACTTTACTTAATGAATGAAAGTCCTTATTATTCATTAAGTAAAGTTTGAATTTATTTTAACTATCAACCATTTTGTGCGAGGGTACTCCGTCAATTTATACAAAGTAAATAAGTTTTATTTACGTTATTGTACACACAATATTAGCAATTATTTTTAATCCATCGTTTCTCTTATTTATTTATTTCATTTATTTATATTTTATAGTATTTCATAAAACAAAAGTATACAAAGTAATTAATGATTTGCAGCATTTTCGTACATCCATGAAGTAAAATGTTCTCTTACTCATACTTTGATTCAGCATCAACTCAGAAAATACGCAAAAAAAAGTTTGTTTTTGATAAAATTGTAAACATGATAAAAATCATACGTTAATTGACAAATGACAAGTTTTTTTAAAGGAAACGGTGACAAACGAGCACACAGTCCACCTGATGGTAAGTGGTTGCTGTGACCCATAGACATCCACATCTAAACTCAATAAAAAAATCAAAATGCAGATGCATTGTCACCTGTGAGTACTAAGATGGAATGCCTCTTTTCCAGTAAAAAGGGTCTCCGGGTCTTTAAGCTCACCATATGAAACAAATCAGCATTAACCTGCTATTTTACGACGGTATGCCGTGAGCGCGTGGTCCTTAGACGGTCGAGCACGAATGGGTCGGATTCGTGCTTCAACAAATTTTACGTGGTAGAGCCATGCTGCAGCTAAATTAATAGTATAGTTGTAAAGACTCAATGTGGTCCGATTAGCATGCTACTTTTGAAACTCAGCTTCTTACCTTCATGACATCTTATTTACATCTAATGCGTCACGTTATCTGTTCTCACTACGCCCAAGGTTAAATCCACGATTTGTAATACTTTTGTTAATGTGTAAACAACAGTGTAAATAAAAAAAATAAGTTAAGAAACCAATTTTTGTAGGACTTACATTATTAACGCTTCGGTTAATATCTATAGAACTTTTGCCAAGTTTCCCACGTCTCAGCACAAATCCAATATCAATGTTAGCTGGAGTCTTATAATATCAATAATTATTGAGTAAACTTCGAAACTTTTTAATTAATTCATAAGTTTTAATGAGATTCTTGGTGGTTGCACATATTCCCATTGTATTGTTGTTTGAAATAAAGACGATATTTAAATCAAGAGACATCTCCTTATTTAGCATTTTTTAAATCGTTCACTACCATAACGTGATACTTGCGGTGTGTTGACGTTCTAAGAGAATTCATCATCCATAGAAACAAGCACACAAATCACCTGATAGTAATTGGCAGCCCAT